AATGGCAACAAAAAGGCCACCGATTTGTTTAAGCAGATTCTGGAGGCCTATCAAGTGCTCGGAGATTGCGGTAAACGTAGCGCTTATGACCGCAACTCATATCCCAACCAAACATTCCCTCAAAGATATCCCAAAACAGCTAAACCACAGCCGAAGAGGAAGACGAAGACATCGACTGATAGCAGGAGAAGACATAAATCTCCGCCAAAGACTAGCGCTGAGAAATCGGCGCCGAATAAGTCCACTGAACATACGGTGTATGTGTCGCTCCGGGATGTGCTCCGGGGCTGTACTCGACGCGTGAAAGTGACCCGAAAGGTGTGGTCTTCGCCCCAAGAGTTCCGCAAAGAGACAGAAATATTGTCGCTCGACGTAAAGCGGGGCACAAAATCGGGAACTCGTATAGTGTTTGCCGGCTATGGAGAGCATCCGTACGGCTCCGACGCCGAAGATATTGCGCTTGTGATCAAAGAGCAGCCCAACCATCAGTTCCGACGCGAAGGCAATGATATCGTATACACCGCGCAAATGAGTCTTAAGGACGCGATCGTTGGCCGACCCATAACTGTCCCGCTGTTGACCGGCGAGATGTTGGATGTGGTGCTCGACAGGCGTCAGACCATTGAATTGTACGAAAAGTGTGTGCTATTCATAAGGAAAGTCGGTTTAGGACTTCCCGACCAAAAGCATACAGTCATTAGAGGAGATCTTCTCATTAAATGTCAATTAAAATCGTAAATATTTGTCTCATTTTGAATAGTAATTTCATTGGCCATCAAATTAATATGCATTTCCATTAATATAATATGTATCGCATCTAATGTTTTAATTATTTTTTAAAATAAAATTAATTTTATTTTCAATGATAACATTTTGTATTTATTTATTTATTTACATAATTATTCTGAATTAATTTGTTATTCAATCATCTATATAAATTGATATGTCATTTGTAACATTGATTATTAATGGTATAATAAATACGTCCTTGGTCATTGTTTGATTGTCAACACAGATTAATTGATCATATGTTTCAAGTAAAAACTTTTGACAAATATTTTCATTGATGTTTTTAATAAAAAAAAAATAGAATTTTACTTTACTTTTAATTATTTATTGTAATTTTTATAATAAAAAATCTAGTTTATGAAAAAATATTTGGTATTTCATTACACTTTGAATGGTATTACTATTTGATATATCACTATAGGTATTAACGGAAATGTCTGTAATTATTAATTTCATTATAAATAATAAAAATAATTAAAAAACATAAATTATTTCAATTACTGTTAATTCTATGTTTTGTTAAAAGCTATGTTAATCTCGTTTAGCGGTTAAGTATTGTCTGATATATTGGTTGACAATCACCGGCTGATCCATTTGTGTCCAATGGGAACAGTTCTCGATGTACTGCAGTGTCATGTCATTGACATATCGGCGCGAGGTGTCAGCCAATTGTGGCACTAATGCTATATCACGTTTGCCTAATCAACAAAAACAATTAATCTTGTTTGTTTGCAAAAAATTTAAGCTTAATGAAAAATCTCACCCCAAATAACAAGTGTGGGAACAGTAATCTGTAAAGAGCGGGGCTTTTCCGACGGGTATTTACGCATAACCGCGCGGTAATAATTCAATGGACACGTGAGGCTATTATACTTTGAATAAAAATCTCACCCCAAATAACAAGTGTGGGAACAGTAATCTGTAAAGAGCGGGGCTTTTCCGACGGGTATTTACGCATAACCGCGCGGTAATAATTCAATGGACACGTGAGGCTATTATACTTTGAAAACATGTATTTATAGGCCTCTATGTCTTCGGTGGTGAGCATCTGGTGTCCGTCGGCCGACACCATAAAGTCGGCCAATAGGCTCAGATCGTTACTCAGGAGCACCAGTTCCGGCAGAAGCGGTAGGTTAAAGAAAAACATATACCACGAGCTGAAGAACTGCTTCCAAGACCTCTGGATCACGTCGGCGAAGGCCTGCGGGTGCGGTCCGTTTAATACGACCAACCGATCCAATAGTGACGGGTGTTTGGCCGCGAAGTTCCAGGCGATAGCACCGCCCCAGTCGTGCGCTACCAATACGATGTCCTGTTTGTCGAGTGCGGCCAACAGTTCCCGTATGTCTTCGACCAGTTTGTCGATCGTATAGTTGCCAATACCGGACGGTTTGTCTGAATCGCCGTAACCCCGATTGTCCACTGCTATCACGTGATAGTCTTTGGCGAACTCCCGGATCTGATGCCTCCAAGAGTACCAAAACTCTGGGAATCCGTGTATGAAAAGCATTGTCTGATTGTTTTCGTCCCCATTTGACACGTAATGCAGTTTTACGTCCTTTTAATAAACAATTAAATGTTAGTTTTATTTCAAAAACAATTTGTAAATTTACATAATTATAACTTTTAACTAAAATTATCGCAAACCTTATTATGCATTCAAACAACAACAAAAACTTATAAATACAACAAAAAAGTTTATTCGCCCCAAACGTACCCTCAATTGTATGAAGTGATGTGTGCCGAGTGCGGGATCCCTGAGACAGTCGGGGCTCACATCCCGGCGCCGGACCTGAAAAAACTTACTCCTATTCCTAATGACGCTAACGATCGAGAAAAGCAACACTAAATACCCGTAGAATAGAGACAGCGCTAGTGTTACCACTTTTTCCACCCGATCTCTAATGCAATCTCTATGTAGAAAAAAGCGAAATATTTTTCGTATTAATTTGCAAAACATTTTTATTATGTAATTTTAT